ATTATGTATTTTCCAGGCATTTAGTTCAATTCTTTACCACAATCAGGTAAATATTATTAGCCTGGCCCTTGCCTTCCTACGCAGTTCTGCTCAGTTTTAGTTTCCTTCACTGCTCCGTCTGGGATTTCTCCCATAGACAAGAATTTCTTTGGTAGAATTTCAACCGGGCCAATCAGCAAACAGAAGGAGGAGTTTTGAACAACAACATAGATTTTCTGTACAGTGTCTGCTTGTAGTTTAGCAATTGCAGTGGGGTAAGTGAATGAAGCCAGTCCGTGTTGATAAGGCTTCCAAATTAGATTAAATTTGTCTCACAAAGCCTGCAGAAGTTCTTTAAAGCCATCTCTTTTGGCTCGGTACTTCTCTCTTCCCAGTAGGGATGGTTGTTTACAGCCCACACGCAATATCCGGTTAGCTTCTTAGCTTAGCCTCCTTCACAGTGAAGCTGGTGCACATGCATCACGGCCAACTGTTAGCGATTTGATAAATCCGATTGAGAAGGAAAGGCTTCTCAATAACTGAGTGTCCAGACCCTCTGTACAAAGCAAAGCGAAGAACAAGGGGCTGGTTTTTGCCAGGCTAGGTATATTACTTTCAGCTGTTATGAAAAAGCTGTATATATCAAAAATAAATCTGACTTTACATCATAGTCTACCTAAACACCTTGAAATTGGCCTCTGTCTTTCAGAATCTCCTACCTTTTCTGACACTCCCATTTCAGCTCTTCTTCCCATCAATGCTTCAGGGGAGGGGTGCTCTGTGGGGCAGGAGCTAATTTTCGGACTGAGCTCCAGGGAGGAGCTCTGTGAAAATAGGCGGAGCTTTGTACCAGCAAGTGTTTAGGCAGCTCCACATGAATGAGTCAAAACAACACCTACTCGCCTGCACACAATCATGGTGTCGAATGAGTTTTGCTTTAAACAGGAAATAACAATTTACAGCTAAATGCATTTAATAAAATCAATTCAGTTTATTTATACAGTGCCAAGTCACAACGAACGTTGTCTCAGGGCACTGTACACAAAACAATGGGCCTCATGCAAGAACCGTTCGTACGCACAGATTTGTTCTTAAATTGTGCGTACGAGTGATTTAGGAGAATTTGTGGCATTCACCA